CCATACCTGGACCACACAATGGCCTGCTGATTGATCACCTGGCCACAAGTCTGTCCCCACTTCAATTAATACTTCATATAGCTATAAAAGTGATCTTCCTACAGCAGAGGTCTGACCATGTGGCTCCCTATTACGTCCAGAATCAAATTAAAAATCCTCTGTGGAGCTTTAAAAACCCTTCACAATCTGCCCCTCCCACTTTCTAGTCTTCTTACCTCTCTTCCACATACTCAGTGATTCAGTGACACTGGACTTCTTGCTGTTCCTCAAACATGATATTTCATTTGTCAGCTCCAGGCATTTTCTCTGGCTGTCCCTCATTTCTCTCCCTCATCTCCACCTCCTGCCTTCCTTCAAATCCCAACAAAAATCTTACCTTCTACAAGATTTTCCTGATTCCTCTTTTTTTTAATGCCTTCCCTCCATTGATTATTTCCCTGTAGATATCTTGTTCGTGCATACTTGCTTGTTTGTTGTCTCTCTCATTAAGCTGTGTGCTTCCCAAGAACAAGAACTGTCTTTTGCCTTTCTTTGTATCCCCAGAACTGCCTGGCACCTAATAGGCACTTAATGTCTATTGAGTAACTAACTAATGAAATCATAGTTTCAGACCAAAAACTCTCAGGCCATCCATCCAGCATTGACATATGCCCTCCCCTTTCACATGGGAGAAAGTGAGCTGTACAATACTCCTTGTGGGACCTGGAAGTGATTTAGTACTTGCTAACCTATATTCAAGACACCTCTTCAGTAGAAGTTGGTAGGACCATGTGGAAATTCAAGTAAGATTGATATTCCCCTTAGAACATTAAGGTCCAGTCTATACAGAACAATTCCAATCCCCAATAATTAAATGTGTATAATGCTTTAGAAAGTTGTTTTTTTGGATTTGTGTCCTAGGATCTTATTGTGTTTGAAATAAAGAGAAGCTGTAGCAAAATATTCCCAGGTTTAAAAGGGCTTAGAGTCTTGTGGGATAAAGAGTTCTCATCAGATTGGATGTCTACTGGGGATCACAGCAGGTCCAACCTATTTTAAGTAGTTACATCTCCCTCTATGTCACTGTGTTCCTCTTCTCTGGCCTGGGTCCCAAAGGCATTTGCCAGGAAAACACAGTTTGTTCCCAACCAGGGAAATCTGACAGATCTTGATCTTAAAGAGACAGAATATTAGCAAACTAAAGAGATAATCACATTCAGGAAAGCAAAAATTTGGCAGGCACATATTTGATTATTGATGGAAACAAGTTGGGAGGGAGGTCTGTTGGTCCTGAATTAACTAGTTTGAGTGACTACACTGCTTTGAGTAGGCGAAGGTCTGCCAATTACTCACTATCTTGAATGTAAACTCTTTCAGTAGATTATAACTTCCTGCAAGAACAAGGACCTTTTCATTTTTGTCTTTGTAACCCCTGGGCCCAACAAAGCATCTGGTATATTATATATGTTTAATAAATGGTTATTGAAGCAAATCAGTTGACGTTCCTCAGGGCAGATGTAGCCCCAAATTTTCAAACCCATTCCATGGGCTGTGTTAGACCCATCCAAGTTGAAATTCCTTCCTTTGGTCTTCTCCAGACATTGGTGTAGGTAAAGCTGTACACCTGCACTAATAGCTGCTCTTTCACAGCTAATAATCAATACAATCAGTCACATACAATACAAGGAAATTTACCTTATACTCACTTCAATATTCAGCCTTTAACCTACAACCCTAAAATGCCATAAGTGACACTTCCCAAAGAAACCAGAAGGGTTAACAGGCAAAGGTCAATACCACAATGCCAGTATTTGATGCCAATGACACTCAATACTAGCGGTAAAGTTATATGATAAGTGTGTGCATCACCCTTTTGCCATCCTCCACTGGTCTAACATTTACTACAGACCATCTGTAAATTGGGCCACTCAACACTACCCACAACCACCCCTACTAACCTATTCCTGGATGTTGACTTTTCCAGGCACCAAAAGTACCCATGATGCTACTCATGGATATGGTATATGGATATCGGGGGCTGACAGGCATAGATCTCCTAGTTCATTAAAAATCTGACTATATTTGCATGCATCTTGGTATTTCAGAAAGAATTCTGGCCTAGAAGCCAAAAAAATGTGAGTTTGAGACCCAGTTATGCTGCAAATTTGTTCTGCGAATTTGAAAGAAAGCATAGTTTTTAATTAAAAAAAAAAAAAGAAAGAAAATTTTCCGGCCATCCATCCAGCATCATAGTATTCCCTCTCCTTCCACATGGAAAAGAGTGAACAGTACAAGAAGACCTTGTGGGACCCAGAAGTGAAGTTTTGCTTTCTCTTAGTTCCTATTTCATTTTTTTTATTAGAATAGATTATCTCTAAAGTCCTTTCCTGCTCTAAATCTTTAGGCATCTAGGTAAACTGGCAGCTTTTCAGAAATACATTTGTTACATAAAGTGAGGCATCACAGAGGTTACAGTGTAGCTCTTCACATGTAAAAGTTCCCACCAAAGTTGGCAAGAATAAGCCCAGTGCAAACCTAGCTTGAGGGTTTGAGATCATCCTGAGTGCCCATATGGCTTTTATGTGGGCAGAGCCTCCTCTGAAGTCAGAGTTGAGGGTGACACCACCAGATGGATGTTCAAATCAGATCTGTCTATCTAGTGGCTGAACAAACTGTGGTCTATGATGTAATGGAATAGTATTGCAAAGAAAAGAGAAATGGGAAATTCAGAGAAACACAAGGAAAGGTATGTGAATTTAAGAGTGAAGGAGGCAGGATCAGAAGAATAATACATACAATGACAACAGTAATATACATTTTCTGAAAATGCTGAAGACAGAGGAGGAGAAGGAGGAGAAGAAGGAAGAGAAGAAAGAGAAGAAGAAGGAAAAGAAGTAGAAGAAGGAGGAGGAGGAGAAGGAGAAAGACTTGGAGTAATTATAATAGCCAATGTTGATCCCTAAGAACAGATAATAAAATATATCTACCTCCTTTCAGCAGAGAACAGAATGCTATATATAATAGTCAGATGTAGTCACCTTATTAGTTGTTATCAATCTGTTGAAGAGAGGGTTCAGTGCTATGGAAAGGGACTCCAAACAGAAATGGTTGTGATGTTAAAACAAAAGGCAACAAGACAACTTTTTTAACCCATTACTTCCTTTACATTCCCAATCAGAACAGAATCATTCATTTCGTTTCCCACATTTATGTCTTTCAGCTGGTAACACTTTAAAAAAATTCTGTTTGACTTGATTTGTTCCCTGGAAGCTCATGACACTGGAAATAAAGAATATCTATATCATAATATTCTCAAACTGGAAAGCAAGAAAAGCCAGGGAGTAGCTAAAAGACAGGATGTCAACCTGAAATAAGCCTGGGAGAATTTTCCACGCAGGCTGCCATGGACATCCTTTCTGCAAGCACGTCAACATGGGGGCTATAAACAGGGAAAGCAGTTGCAGATAAGGAGCAAAGCCCTTTCAAGAAATGCTCCCTCTCCTCATCTCCACTTCTTGGAATCCCTAGCTCCCTTCAAGGCTTAAGTGTCACCTCCTACAGGAAGATGTCCCTGGTTTCTTCTGTTCTTCATATTGCTTTTTAATTCCACTAATCCTTTGTATATATTTTATTTTGACTCATCAGTATGTATCCCTGTCATTTCCCCCAGTAAAGAGCAACCCCCTGGAAGGCAGGGGATGCCTTTTGTTTTTGTATCCCCAATGACTACCACAGTGCCTGGCACATAATAAGTGCTTGTTGAATTGAATCTGTCCCTCTTGTGTGACCTAATTACTTTGCAAATAGGATCAATTCTCTTCTCACAAGCACTGTATTTGCTCCTGTATCACACAGAATATTTGTAATAATGACAATATTCGTAAAGTGCTTAGCACAGTGCCTGGCACAAGGTAAGTGCTATATTAATGCAAATAATCATTATTTTTGTTGCTATTACTATATTCTAGATGGTGATCTTCAAAGTCTGAACAGTTATTTTCCATTACAAAGTCTGACAGGAGGAAGTAGCACTTAAAAAAAAAGATTATTGCTATAAAGGGTCTTACTCAGAAAAAACAACCTGAGCCATTTAAATGAATACCCCACTCACACCATCCACTATTTCTCCTCTCCTCTTTCTCTACCACACAGTTGCTTACAATTCACATATTAAGAAGCTTACAGTTTCCTCAACAATTATAAACATGTAACATCTGATACAAAACAATGTTAGATATGTTGGCACACAGTACCCATGATTCACAACGATAAAGTGAAAGTACATTCTATAGCAGTGAGACTTAAGAGAAAACAAGACCTTTAAAAAAATGGATTTCCATCTGCCCAATGCTCCTGACAGACAGAAAATGGATGGACCAGAAGGCCTCTCAGAGTCCATTTGTGGTTCTTTGATTGAATGAAAAAGGACAATGTAAGAATTATAGAACGTCATGAACTCCCTGGATCCAAAGGCAGAAATCCCCTTTACTATGAGTTTAACCAAGAGAGTTATCCATCATTTTCTTTAGTAATAAGACTTCCTAATAGGATCGTAGATGTAGAAGTAGAAGGAACATCCAGTCCAAACCACTTTTACAGTTGATGTCCAGCACAGTTAAGGGACTTGTCAAAGGTCACACAGAAAGTAGTCAGCAAAGCCAGGGATTTAAACTAAGGTCCTGAGACTCCTAGTTCAGCACTCTTTCCAGTGCATCTTGCTGTCTTGTTAAGTCTGATGTCCACCGATTGAATGTGATTTAACTTTGCAATTTAACACTTTAACCCAAAATGCTTAGATCTGTGGCACCTTGTTGGCATTAGCTCATTCTGTAAGAGCCTCCCCCAGCACCCAGCACCTGTTTACCTCTAAGGATGACATCCCAGTGGCAACAATAACACAGATAGATACTTTCACTGTTTGAAAATTTCCCCTTCGGAAGGTGCCGTAACAGCTATCATCTTTTTGGGTAGGAGAAAATAAACTGGATACAATAGCATAACATATCAAGCAATTAATTTACCTTAAACGTTAACCTGTTGCCAACAGTTGCTTCAAACTGAAACTATGGACTCTGCGTCATGCATGTGGGAAAACCCATCTGTTCCTCTCCCTTTTGCGCTCCCCCCCCCCCCGCCCGCCTGCCCAACTGCCCCCTGCCTCCCAGGCACTCCCTTTCAGCTCCAATTGGATGGTTCGCGCTCCCTGATTCAGGCTCACAGGTAACACTGAAGACTGATTGGAAGAATTCCCCATCAGGCAATCCCTGTCTCCACCCGCAGCTTCTGAGCTTGAAGTTTACAAACTTGTTGTCTAGGTAATAGTAATCTCAGTAAAAGGCTACGCCGCCTCATTAGAGAGCGTAGTTTAGGAACTGTTCAGTCTAAACAGTCTGAAATTTCGGTTTTAGAAGGGCAGTACTCTTTCCACTGCCCTCTCCCCAACATGATTTTTATAGACAGGTAATGGCATGTCACAAAATGGACTCCTTTCTCCCAAGCAACCCTTTTCTCGGCTTCTGACTTCTTCAGATGACTTTTTGTAGGAATATCTCATTACAGTGTGTGACTTAACACGGAGAAGATCTTGTTACAGTGTGTGACAACACCGCAGAGTAGCCTGGTAACATTACAGGTGATGCACTTTCAATCTGCCCTTCCCCCCAACTCACACTATCAAGTCACCTGACTGGATAATCAGCCCCATCTGTTCACCCTGTACAAGGTAAGAAAGCAATGAGCAGCCTTGCAGGATATAGGTGGAGTAGACCAAGCTCCATAGTGATCCAAGGATATGTTTGGATATTTCCTTACTTATTTGCAATCTCTTTCTCAGCAATTAATTGACTCAAACACTCATTGGAGAAACTTTCTTTCCCAAGAGTCATTACTCTTATTTCCCTATAATTCTATAAATATTAAAATTAGTAGATATGAACAAGTTATTAACAAAAGCAAAAAGAAATCAAGAACAAAAATAACTATTTACAATATTTTGACTATATGAAAGTTCACAATCACCACAAACTCTTTTTATAGACCTAAGTTCAAATCTTGTCTCAGACAGCGCTTACTATCTAGGGGACCTTGGTGAAGTTACTTAACTTCTCTGTCTCAGTTTCCTTATCTATAAAATTGGGATAATTGCACCTACCTCATAGGGCTATTGAGATCAAATGAAATAACATGTAAAGCATTTTGCAAACTTTACAATGCCATTTAAATGTTATTATTGTTATTGATTAGAATGATAAAATGATATAATAATGCGTAACTCCACTTCTGGAAATAGTCTCTAATCTTTGAGTTCATTTCAGATATTGACTAAAGTCTCTTAAGAAACATCTTCATATTTCTCCCTACAATAAGAGTTAAATTCAATCTTTTAGAAAATAAGTTAGATTAGTCCTTTTTGTTTCCTCTTCAGCAATCATCTTTCCAAAATATACTTTACTTGCCAACCCCTTATACATTTTTCCAAAACAAATTTATAAGATGTCTTTTTATGATATCACTTATGACAGTTCTGACAAGGGAAAAATTTTGTATCACCTTCTTCATCTCTGTTTTCTCCACAGATTCTTCATAGCTACCCATAGATCACAGATAAAACACACACCCTGTCCTTCACTCCATAAAGAAGTCTCTATAATAATCCCTTTCTCAACTGTCACTTCAAAATTGCCATGATCAACTGCTTCTCTCAACATTCAATGTTGGCTCTTAAAGATACAATTACACTATACTTAGTGTATAAGAAGTATTTGAAACAGGGGTTGTACTAGGTTAGAGGTGGGGAATCTGTAGCTTCAAGGCCACATGTGGCCTGCTAGGTCCTCTGTGAAGTTTGGATGCAGTCAAAGGGCCACACTCGAAGACCTAGAGGGCCAACAAGAACTGCCCTTTGACCTAGGTGTTAACAATAGCTACTCACGTGGATCCACCTATTCCAAGAAAGTGTCTTTCTAGAAACCTAGAACAGAAACATTTAACATATGGTCACAGGTAGCCTGAAACACTCAAGTGCTGCAGAACCAAATCAAAGTATCATTGGGAAATATTTAACAAAATAACTAAGAATATAATAAAACCTAAGTAATGTTAACTTGTGGATTTCTGCATCAATATGTGGACCACAGGGACACTTATATATGAATTAGTGGTCATATTTCTATTTAAGTTTGATACCACTGATCTAGAATAGCCACCAGCAGAATTACTCTTTGGTTCCAAATGGGTTAAAAATGTTACAGTTCTCAAGGAAAGAAATCCAAGTTGTCAATAACCTAGCCACATAAAAAACTGCTCAAATTCAACAATGAAAAGAGAAATATAAACTAAAACAACTCTTGAGGTTCCAATTCAAATCAGATTGTCAAAAACGCCCATAAAGGAAAATGACAAGTGACAGAGAAAATAAGGGAGGGCAGACATATTAATGCAGTGGAGCTGTGAATTAATGGTCCAGTTAGCTCAGAAAGCAATTTGAGCTATGCGGAAAAAAAAAATCACTGAATTTTGCCTATTATTTGACTAGCAATACCACTGCTAAGTATATATCCCATAAAGTGATCAAAGAAAGAGAAAAAAGATATATATATACATATATATATTCATATAATTATTTTTTGTTGTAGTAAAGTATATTTTGTTGTAGTAAAAACTGAAGGAGTAATATTAATTGAAGAATAGTTGAACAAATTATAGCACATGAATGTAATGAAATATTATTTTAATAAAAAGCAAAGAGAATAGATTCAGAGAAACCTGGGAAGACCTACATTAGCTGACAAAAAATGAACTGAGGGGCAGCTAAGTGGTGCAGTGGATAGAGCACCAGCCCTGGAGTCAGGAGGACCTGAATTCAAATATGACCTCAGACACATAACACTCACTAGCTTGTGACCCTAGGCAAGTCACTTAAGCCTGATTGCCTCACCAAAAAAAAAAAAAAAAAAAATGAACTGAGTGGAACTAGGAGAAACAATTTATATAACAACAACAAAATTGCAAAGAAAAATCACTTTGAAATTTTTCAAGTCTGATCAATACAATGACAAACACCTATAGAGGACCAATGGTGAAACATGTTACCCATCCCTTGAGAGGTGATGGATTAGAGGTGCAGAATTGGATGGTATTTTTGGACATGGTCAATGTGTGGGTTTGTCTTGCTTGCCTAAGCTTATTTGTTTCAAGGGAAGAGTTTTTGTTTTTTTGTTTGTTTTTAATTTGAGAAGATGAGGGGAATTGGTGAGCAGAAAGAAAGGAAGGAAGGAAGGAAGGAAGGAAGGAAGGAAGGAAGCAAGGAAGGAAGGAAGGAAGGAAGGAAAAAAGGAAGGAAGGAAAAAACCATTGAAGCACCTTTAAAAGCACAGAAGAGAACAGAAAGTTCATAGGAAAATAGCAGGATAGCTTTGAAATTACTATGATAAATTTTATATAGACTTTTTAAAAGCTATACATAAGAGAGATTCATGGTTCCATAGTCTTTTCCTCTTAATTTATAGGAAAAAAATTTATTTTTGTTAGTGTTTGTCAAGATCAGAATAACAAAAAATTAAAATTAAAAGATGGCTCCTCTTAAAATGTGCATGATCCCAGAGAAAGGTAACATATCTAGCCACTACCACTTAACTAAGTTATTAGCACAGAATAATTTATCTTTGCCTCCTCACACTCCCTCACCCCACATATCTAATCAGTTGCCAAATTTTTGCCATTTTTACCTCCCCAAAACAACCCTTGTCTCCTTTCTCCCAGCTACCACTCAGCTTCAGACCCTTATTACTTCAAGCTTGGATAACTGAAACAGCATACTAATTGTTCTCTATGCCTCAAGCCTCTCAGCATTCCACTGTAGCCCCACACATGACTGCCAAAGTAATTTTCCTTGAGAGCAAACCAAGTCACTCCCCTGATCAATTGATTCCAGCATCCAGCTCTCTATTGCCTCTAGAATAAAATGGCAACTCTGCTTAACACTTCACAATCTGGCTTCAATCCATCTTTCTAGCATCATTTGACATTATTTCCTTCTGGGATACTGTTCCTGAACTGATCTGTGATTTGAGCTGATTATCTTGAAAGGAAGGAGAAACAAAAGAACCTGGGCCTCAGTTTCTTCATGTGTAAAATGGTGGGATAAGACAAAATTACCCTCTAAAATTGCTTCTAAGTTTTATTCTCAAGACAAAAGGAGCCCCAGGAGTACTGTTGTTCCTAGACATTTTTCAATATTTTATTTCTTTATATTGAGTCTATGTGTTCTTGGGGATAGTTGACATAAAAATTTGTGTATGCAAAAATATACACTTACATGTAGATTGTACTGTTTACAAATACAGGATCATGGCTCATATCAATCAATGATAAGCAAATCAGCAAGTTTTGTCTACCCTGACATTCTATTCTCCATTTGACATGGGAATATGGCAGAGTTACTAACCATGATGGGAGATGATAGAATTTGATCTCAAACTAGACTGACCAGGGATGAAGAAAGGAATTCCTTTGCTGTTTGTTGCCCACTTAAGTATTGTTAACTTTCCAACTCAAGGAAAAATTCAACCTTTCACACACAAAGTAACATGTTCTCACCAACCACAGCACACACTTTTTTTTAAAAAAAAGTATAATAGTTTATTAATATTTAAAACAATTAACGTTAACTATTTTTTTTTGAAAGGGAATGCCCCTGACAGGAGAAATCAACTCTGATTGGGGAACAATTAATAAGGGAGTAGGCATATTAATGAGGAGATGGGCTTAAAGTCTTCAGCTTCTCTTGCTGAAGAGGTGACTTGATCATGAGACTCAGCCCAGACTGGAACAGAAAGTGAAACTGCTTTGATGCCTCCTGGCCCCTCCTATAAAGAGTCATGTATCTGTCAACTGGTGAGGCAATTTTCTTCTATTACAGATAGTCAGGACACAACCTCCTCCCTCCCCACTGCAATCCAGGCTACCTTATCCCCCTTCAGGCCCTTGTACATTATCACTAAGTAGCCATCTCACTCACACTCTTCCACAAATTGGATTGATTTTTTAATACTAGCATTTCATTTTGTTACAGTTTTCACTGCAGTAATAAAAACTGTGCAGGTGTGC